TCATATTTAATTTACTACTTTACTCTTTAGTAGTGAGCAGGAAAAAAGAGGGTAAAAAAGATAAATAGAAAAAAAGAGATTATATAGCTTGAATGTGCCCTCCACCCCTAAATTTATATGTTGGAATTTGGTTATATTGTGAATGAATTCAGAGAAAAATTTTAAAAACTTTTTATTTTTTTAAATAAATGTATTTATAGTCAATTGTACATCAATACAGTATACAAATGAAATTTTACATCCAGAATACATTGTATATTGGCTCAGTCAAGGATATTACTGTACATGTTATCATCAACAAATAATTTTCTATTTCTTGTTTGTTACATATTTTTCCCCTTGATTCCCTTCCTCTCACCCTCTGCCAATTCCCTCCCTTGTCCCACACTGTCTCTGGTATCTACAGTTGTTTTCCATGCCTTTTTTTTTTTTTTCACATTTTATTGATTCACTAAAGATCTTAAGTTAAAAAAAAAACCTTAAATAGCAAGCACAGCTGATATATACATATCTATGCCATAGGGCCGGCGCCACCACGCCCAATAGCAACCACAGCTGATATATACGTATCTATGAATACATGTCTGACTTGAGGAGTAAACTTCAGTGAATAAAGTGAACATACTATAAAATAGCACCTTTTTGGGCCTATCTAGGTTACTGTAGTCATTAAAAAGGTATTCATAGGATTTTTTAATGCATTTTTTAATTTCGAGAAAAACAGTTTTAGTACATCAAAATCAAAAAAATTTCTTAAAACTTAAAGCCAGGAAAAAGGTTAGGATTCAGTTCAAATAGTAGGTAGATGAAGCTATCAACAATTCAAGAGAAGACAAAAATCCTTAAATGTGGAAATCAAAGCATCGAAGAAAATCAGTAAAGTCAAAAAATTCTATTTCACTAGTTCAGACTCATGTAAAAGCTCTCCTATTGAATTTGACCTTTGCCATGGTCTGATCTTTCCATTTAAATCCTAGAAGTTAACATTCAACATTATAAATAATATTTCTGAACTCATTCCTACCATTAAGTTGGACTTTCTCTTGGTCATTTTTTGTTCTCTTATTTCTGTTTGTAGTTTCCCTCGTATAGTACTCCCTTCAGTACTTCTTGAAGAACTGGTCTGGTGTTAGTAAATTCTTTCGGGTTTTGTTTATCTAAGAATGTTTCAGGCTTTTCTTCCCATATGAAGGATAATCTTGCTGAAATAGTATTCTTGGTTGAAATTGTTTTTCACTTAACACTTTGAATATATTTTCCCATTCTTTCCGTGTTTGTATTGTTTCTGATGAGGTTCGATGTTATTCTGATGGGATATCCATTGAAAGTAACTTGACGTTTCTCTCTTGCCAATTTTAGTATCTTATCTCTGTCCGTGGTTTTGGCTAGTCTGGCTATGATGTACCTTGGAGAAGATCTTGGGTTGAATCTATGTGGGGTCCTTTGTATTTCTTGGGTCTGGATATTTGAGTCCCTCTTTAGATTTGGAAAGTTTTCTTTCAGGATTTCATGGAAGAGATTATCAATGCCCTTATTAGTTTCTTCACCTTCTGGGATACCTATGATTCCATATGTTTGGGCATTTAATGGTATCTCATATTACTCATATGTTATTGTCATTTTTGGGGGGTTATCTTCTCAGTCTTCTTGGTGAATTTTTCTAGGTCAGAGTTTCTGTCTTCTACATTTGAAATTTGATCTTCTGCATGATCTAATCTGCTTTGAATAGTTTCAAGGGAGGTTTTGATTTCCTGTATTACAACCTTCATCTCTAGCTGATTCTTTTTTATGTGTATCTTCTCTTTCAGATTGTGCAGGAACTTGCTCACATCCTGGAACTCATCTCTTTTCTCCTGCACCTTCTAGAGTTCGTTGTCTCTCTTTTCTTGCGTCTCTGTTAGCTTTGTCACTATGAATATTTTAAATTTTTTATCTGACATTTCCATGAGTTCCCTTGCATTCTCTGTGGAGGAAGAGCAGTTATTCTTTACCTTAGAGGAGACATATTTTTTTGGTTTCTCATATTTCCTGTGCCTCTGTGGTGGTTTCTGGTCATCTGATGGATTATATGTGTTTTCCTAGTTTTTGTAATTAAATCTGAGCTTCCAGAGGAATGCAGGAGGTGTTGACATGTTGTCTCTAAATGGTACTGTTTTTCTCCCTTTGCACAGCTGATTCAATGAAAATTGAGGATTAATCTTATTAATTTGAATACTAAAAGTATTCAGATATTTGACTAATAAGCACCTAGACCTGTCAGGAAAATTAGTGTGTGGATGCTGAGCAGAACAAATGAGAAAGGTAAAAGGAAAAGGAAAAGGAAAAAAAGAAAACCAAAAAAAAGAGAAAAAAAAAGACAAAACCAAAAAAAAAATTTTTTGGGGGGGGGCAAAAAATGAAAACCATGTGGCACAGCACATGACTCCTTGGCTAGATCTAGGGAGGTAGTAGAGTGAAGTCTGGGAAGAGGGTCTTCGGTGGTCCTGATCCGTGAATGGGACCACTCAGAACTCAGATATAGATGGCTGTTGATAGGCTTATCTTGGCTCCTTGGGTAGATCTGGGGGCAGGGAGTGGGTGGGGAGAGGGTGAAGTCTGAGCAGAGTGTCTTCGGTGGTCCTGATCAGTTCAGAGGAAATTTTTAATCTGACCATGGTGTTGAAAGGTGGAAGCTATGAGAAGTGATTAGGCAGTAAGGTTGAAGTCCCATGATTGAGTTCTGGTATGTTATAGGGAAAG